CTATCACAAATTATATACGCGATAATCGGTATTCGGCGTCAAATATTGCAAAAATTGTCGCAAATATTAAAAAGAATCTAATTACTCAATTTCGTCAACGGTTCACCAAATCTGGTAGAAAAAAATAACAATTCTTAAACCAAAATAGTGCGTGGTTGGATGGCATATACACCGTGAATCTGTGCAGAATCTAGACCCATGTCGTTTTTCCATACATCTAACACACAGTCTTCAATTTTGTAATATGACCTTTGTAATTGCTTTTGATTTCTTTTTCATTCTTAAAAGTTACGTTGTTAAAAATATGTTACCACCTACAAAATGAATATTAATTAAAAGCACATATATTCAAGAATATCCAAAAAAAAATCACGTAATTATCTTTCAAAACTTGGAAGTTATAGATTTATGACACGAAAGTGGCTCAATCTCCCCACAGTGCGACGGCCCAATACGGTTTGGCGAATTTCTAAGTTTTCCAAGGATTGTAAACCTTTTTCAACGTGCAGGTTTAATCACAATGTTCGCCTTGACAGTTAGTGAGGTATTGCGACTAAATATTCAAATCTTGGGTACCTATATACACCCTCAGGGATTTAAGCTGTCGATATTAACTTGTCAGTTGAAAAGCAATTCTCCCACTAGGCTGCTCTGTATTTTATTTTCATGATAAAACAAAATTTCTAAGTTAATATTTGTTAAAAGCATGTACTGAAATGATAATTTTAAATTTGTAAAAGCAGAAGGCAAAAACAATCTAAACGGTCATCATAATGATTGATCGTATTTCTCCGAGACATAAAATAAATTATATCAATGGATATTTTAAGCTGTTCTGAACTACGCAAAAAGAAATGATTAGTATAAATTAATTTTGATAATTGCATTAAAAATAAAATCCAGATACTTATTTTTTATAAATCGATTAACTACAATACTTTTTTATTTTGGTATACTAAAGTATTTGTATCATAATATTATATTCATTATAGTATAATTTGACTTGAAACCGTGTACGGACATGGATGCAAATTCGCTTCTGGCTCTCGCTGGTCGCTACCGCGTCACAGTCGCTTCCCTCGCTCAGCTCATGCTGCTTTTCATATTATACTAAGATAACCTACTGGATGGAGGGAGCAACCTAAAATTTGACCTATATAAAAAAGAGGATCAAATATTATTTTTGAATACCAAATATTAATTTACTAAGCTTAAATAACTATACATAATTATACTATACTAACATAATTATAGTGTTACCTTGAATGCAGTTCATATGAACTATTTTATTTTAATTATTAATATTAGATTATAAATATAATTTATCCGTTGATAAATTAGAACCGTACAAATCAATTAATATAATCGTATATCAAACATAAAAAAATATCGTTTATTTAAAAAAGTGCACATTAGATCAATTATATCTTTGAGGATCAAATAATATTATTGTTAAATTCCCATACGTATTTTCCTATTTTTTTCATTGTTTTTCTTTGCACAATGCAGACATCACCCTACCAAATACTACTGCTAATCAACTCTAGCCCGTTTTTACAGGTACAATAGACCGTACAGCAAAGCAATGGCGTTATATCTATAAGCGGTCATAACACCGTTTGGCACATTACCAGTTAGTACACCTGTAAAAAAGTTTTTGTTTTTAATAAATCGAAAATCGCTATCATTCTAGCAGTACTTGTATGGAGTATTCCAGGCATCTATGAGATGGCGCAGGGAAATATCAACTAGTCGAAGATAAGTTCAAATCTAAACTTCATTTGTAGGTTTTCTACAGAATATACTTTGGTGAGTGTGCCCACGAGCACCATCAGTTCATTCGGCCCGCGCCTCTTTTACCATCGGACATCGAACATTCAGTCGTGCCCTACTTGGTCGATATTCCCTTCACGCTTTTGGTCATATTTTACTATGCGCTGACAAAAACCAGGAATAAAATTCTCTGACTGCATCAGTGTTACTGAGCAGATGCAACCCGAGTATCCTTAAGGAGCGACTGAACAGACATCTGCTGGGCGAGCTCATTCCATCATAGACCCTATCTTTTCTCTACGGCTAGGTAGTGGTCAAGAGCAAGTCATTTACTAGAAAAAAAACCTTAAAAAGTCACAAAGACGCTATGATGCATAAATAGATGACACGGATCCATGTTTACAGAAATATCAATTCAGAAGTTTTCTGCCAAAATAGCTCTTCTACGAATAAAATAAATATATAAGTCGTATTTTTACACACACAGAAAGTTGATATCTCTATACACACATATTTTGTTATTTATATACTTATTTGGCGAACCAACAGAATTACACATATATATGATTACTCTAGAGATTACATGTAGTATTTGTTCTTATGTGTATTTCAATTATAGGGAAAGCCCACACGGGCCTGCGGCTTGAGAACTTCACGCACTTCAGATATATAGAAACAAAATTATAATTAAAATTAAAAAAGCAATTATAAAATTAATTTAAAATATTTTTACATTAATGTGGTGTAAAGTGTACACCTTGTGTAATAAAAGAACGCCCTTGGAAATTTATATACAACAGAATGTTAAGCGTGTAAACCTGCCACTTTCTCTTCATCGACGCCGAGCAGGTAATGAAGAAAATTAAAGCTTAGGGGCACACGTAAAGTCGGCCCTTACTTTATCATGCCTTTTTATTGGTAATTATGTAATTATGTGCATAAATGGGAAACTTCCCTTAACCCTCTACAATTTTAATAGAAATTCAGCATCTACAAAAGACGAAACGCCTTCATTTTCATGTAGACATATTCTGACTTTTTGATTTCACTATCTGTATCTTTGGATGCGTAAAGTGAAGTTTCGTCAATTATAAGTTGAGTAAAATGCTATTACTTGTCTTCACAACCTTATAAGTTTTGTAGCAGATGTTTGTAGTACATTAAACATACGCAGCATAACGTTTCTTGTTAATTAAATCTGATAAGATACACTTCATATTTAATACAATATGAAGTGTAAAATTTGCGTCAGCTTATTTACGCTAGGATTTCTTAAGTTGATGCCGTCAAGGCACGCAGCTGTGAGTGACGTGTTCTTTAAGGTTTCATACCTCCCATTTGTATTGTTTACTTATTTGGTATTATTGTTTTCGACAGTTATAAATACAACGTCAACTTTGATTAAAAACAAACTAATTTAACTGAACTTAAATCAAAATTCTTGATTATGAAACAATTAACGAAAAGCATTTGGCAAATGAAATTATTATAGCAATAAGTTTGTATTTTTTAAGATTTTCATATATGCGACAGCAGCGTAAAAATAAGTATAATGTTCACCAAACTTTCGTTTCATTTTGAATCACTTAATAAGGTATTGGATCGCTCAATCATAATTTTGGAGCACCGAAAAAAAATATAACACTAAAAAAGAACTCTTCTATAAAAGCCATTATATACGTACCTTAACATTATTAACAAAGGCAATTATTATTAATATTTCTATTATTTCGGTGTGCCAGGGTTGATTCAATTTAATATTATGGAACAATATTCTGTACGCAATTATTTCATAATCGCTGCGCCCATCAATGACAAAAGGGTCACGAGCATGTCAAGCTTAATATTCGTACTTTGGACCTTGCTTATCGTAAATGACATAAAAATGAATTTAAATCTTATGTATCTAGCTCATAGGTTACATATTGGAAAAGGAATTACGTAGTTTTTACGATCTAAATTGCTTTGACTACTACGACGATCTCCTGCCTCGTATACACCTCCGTGATCGAGTGGCTTGCACACCAGTTTTCATGTCGCCGTCTCTGAGGACCGGATCAGTGTAGAAAACTAACTTTTCTAACAATTGTATGGGGTCTGGATGTTTGTGGTACCGTCGTTGTTTCTAATTGCCATAACACAAGTGCTTTGCACTTGTTACTTACTTTGCAAGAATCAGAGCAATGTGTGTGATGTTGTCTAATATTTATTTATTATATTTATTCAATTGCGGATGCTTATTTTTCCAAACAAACCAAAGTTTCCGGCCTTACACAGTCCAATGGTCACGGCTGACTGACATGATAGCTGTGTCCATATTTCCAATTAAATATTAAGTGTAAGCTTGATGAAAAATTAAAAACGATACTAAGCATAAATTGTAAGGAAAAATAAAACTAATACCGTAAAAAATGGGTTGACACGCATATGTACTATATATATAGTGTAAGCCTAACGCCACACCTGAGGAAATTTAGTTGCGTAATTTTGAAATGAATGAGGTTGAATTTCGCTAGATAAACTCTCACGTTACTATTCTTATGTAAGTTCAAGTGTGTATGCGATTGTATGTATTTATGCAAATTGTAAAGGGTTATAAGCATTAGTCTGCTCTCTAACAACGTAAACGAAAGACAAAATGTAAACGAAAGACAAAATGTCAATCTTTTCAGCGATCGCAACTTGACATTCAAACTTTCTTTTGCATCTCAGAAACAATCAGGATTATTATATAATAAAAACAAAACAAGGCTATCCTGATGTGCTCGCTTATAACATAACATAATAAGATAAGTTATGATAACTCCATACAGACGTAGCTGCGCGCCTTGTGTATGCGCGCCCAGCGCTCGCCGCGTGCAGATGCACTTATTGGCATAATATTGACTTATATTAATAATGGCTTGAGACGATCAGAGTATTTGCACGCGAGTGCATCGCGGGATTATGCAGATCTGTCCGTCCATACACAGCATGCAGAGGCCGCGCACACATACATACCCCGCTGCTACGTTTGTATGGAGTTACCACGCTTGTTTTATTATGCTATGTAGGGCATGCAAATCGGTAAATTGGCTAACCGAAAAAACTAGTAACCATTAATTTGGGAACCCGGTTTTCAGCTAAAGAAAGTTTAGTAGAAAGCCCGAGTTTTTCGTTTTAGTTTTAAAATTAAATAGTTTTTCGTAAATTCGTAATTCATAATAATCATCGTATCGTGATTAATAATGATAAATCTACGTGCCAGGAATTCGTACCTGATTGTGATTACAGTGCAGCGACAGCGTCTACAAGATGAGTGCAGGTAACCTTTAGGTAAGCGAGGGGCAAGTGAGGTGCGCCTGCGCGAGACCCATAGCAACAATAGTTATTAAGAAAATAAGTGTTGCCGTTTTAGCGACTTAGTTGCTAGATTCAGTAAATTTTACGAATGTTTAGCAAGCAAAATAAATTTAGATACAAAGCTTTTTTTGACCTGCTGACTAAGAAAGGTGTGAGTATGGAAATGACGGTTGATAAGGAAAGTGGAAGAACAATACATATTGTGCCAATTCCGCCTAGCGTGGGATAAGGACAGGAAGAAGAAAAGAGGAGGCTATTTCAAAAATAAAAAAGTGACCTCTTAATGAATATAAGGAATCGTCATATTCATGTGTCCGATTTTTAAGCCTAATGCTGGTAATATTCATAGAATCAGACTGAAAAAGATGTTTATTTGTTAGACACTGTAACTAGACATATTTATTTTATAATATTCTCTCATCTCGTTGAAGCTGTGAACTCCATAAATAATAAAAATAATCTAAACAAGATTGATTTGATGTCTTTTTTATTTTTCTGACACTTTCAAAAAGCGGAACCCGGTAACGGAAAAAACCGGTTTTAAAAATTACTCGGTTTTTGCATGGCCTAATACTAAGACTAAAATTTCACAGAAAATTTGAACAACAATTTAATCGAAACACGGAACCTACACGAAAACTACGAGCTGCGAAATAAATAATCAAGTGATATCATAAAAATACAAGGTGTTACGAACACAACAATGTGTAGACCTCACGCGATCATGAATAAATTTTATCCTTGAATTGTTTCACTCTTGCTATGACGCAAAGAATTTAAAAGGTCATTGTAGGACGCAGCACGAACTGTACATAATTTTATGATAAAAAGGCATTAATGGCGACCTCAAAAACCTAACCGTTCGGGTGAAATAAAAACTATACCGCAACCCACAGCATCCGCATAGGTAATTACCTACAACCAATATTTTAATTTAAACCAAATGTTTATTGGAGTTAATTTGTGAAAAAGATTCTTCTAGCGGATCATATATTTCAAAAAGTGCCAAGTTTAACTAGCATACATTAAACCTGTAACAGGATTGAAAATTTCTTAATAACAGTATATTGAATGCCCTGTCGCATAAATATGGGACAGGGCATTCAATATACGATAAGCGTACATTTCAAGACTGTATTAATTCCCTACACCACTTCGAGCAATATACCACATTACGTCAAAATCCATCCACATTACACATGAAATCCACATTACGTTGAATTGCCTGAATGAATAGCCACATACTTTATGTTTGTATTGTTACATTTCATACAGTTCCATTTCGTATTGAAATAAAGTAGGCCTCGATATAAACAGTCTTTATTGCACCAAACAAACACCTACGGAACAAATATTAATTACTATATAAAAGGTGAGCAAAGGTGACCATTTCTCTAAAGAAATCTCTTCTAGCCGACTCAAGACAGTAAGAGCAAAAGCCACAAGCGGGCAACCCCACGTAATATGGAAAGAGGGAGAAATATTATAAACTAACAGACAAATTAATTTTTTTTTAATATAATATCTAGTGACGGGACGAACAACTCGTGCACCTGATGGTAAGCTACACGCCTGTCTATAGCAGTTGCAGTGCCAAAACGTGCAAGACAGTGCCGCTCAAGGCTTTAAATCGCAAAGATCTGAGGGACACCACCACTGCGCCCATCACCGCGCTCGTCATCCTGAGACATAAGTGGACAAGCCCCGTGTGCCTGTAATATCACCAGCACCCTTACACTTCAAAACCGGAAGACAGTAATGCTCACATTACTGCTTGGCGGCAGAAATAAGCAAGGTGGCAGTACTTCCTTAGACGAACTCTTTCGCAAGGAGCTCTACTGCTACTAATGTTATATATAGAAAGAAAGAAAGTTCAGCAAGACAGGGCGCTATGAATCTTTTCTTCAAGGAAGCAATCGACAGGCTAACCTAGATGTAGGCAAGGAATTTGTTGTGGACAATTGCGCTGCAAGAAAAAGTGTTAAAATTTTGTATTACAGCTGGGACGCCGAATGCGTCAAAAGTTATTTATATATATTCAATAACAATCAACAAATATTAGTATGTTCCTGGTTACGTTTCCCCAAAATTAACTGCAAAATCGACTCAACTGAAATTGACTGAAACGTTTGTTACAAAAAACATCAATTTCCTCTCGAGAGCAGCGGGGCTGAGAGCTACGATCGAGTGACGCTCTGATAAACGAGCAGATTGATCATTTATGTACCTATATGTTCGTTCACAGGTTGAGTCTCTTTTGTCTGTTGGCTATTTCTGGTTATAAATGACCAACATGTGTTTCCTGTCGGCTTAACATGCACGAGTTCGGAAATATAAGCTTTACGTAAAAATGCGAAACCGAACAATATATCATTTTTTATTCTCGTTTGGATTGGTGCTGAGGGTGCTGTGGCCCGTAGACAATTAACACTGCGAGCTCGTCACGATTTATCGTATGTTGCCAATATGGCCGTATGGCTATAACGTTATTTCGCTCGACTTCAACATACGTAATCTGAGCGAAATTGATTACGAGACGCATCCGAATGTTTCACTTTCAACAAATGTTTATTGTCAGTTGTCGTAGCTGTGTTGCCACCCGCACTATTATTTATTTTTTCATTTTATTATATATTGAGGGAATATGTGATGTGTGACATAAATGGTTAACATTGTTTAAAAATACGATATAGGGTCAGGTGGGACAAGAAAAACACCGGGGTAAGAGGGACTTGAAGCTTTAACTCATAATCTAGAGAGCTTCGCACAATAGTCTTTCAGATGTCTCTCAGTCGATAAAACAGACAAACAAATTAGTTTAAACAATTTTAAATAGATGTCGCTACAATGCTCCAAATTTAAAAGGCGGAAAAACAAATTTGAAAGCTGTGAAATCTTGAGAACACAAGGTACATATACATTACATTTTGCACGTTTTCGGCAAATACATCGTAAGTGTTGAATTTTGTTAATAATGGTTAAAACATGTAAAGCTGACAAACAACGACAAGTTTTTCGAGTTTATCTGTTCTTCCTACAGCTCGAAACATTTGACTGAAAATAAAGTATTCCTCTTACTCCAAACCTAAAAGGTAAAACAAATTCGATAGCTGTGAAATCTTCAGAACACGTAATATAATTTACCTCTATAAGAAATACGATGACTGTTACTCTTATTATGCTACCTTTTGAAGGAAGAGAATTCGTCAAATACATCGTAACTATTGATTTTCAAATTCAAATTTAGATCCAAATTATTTATTGCATTCATGTTGTTACATATGGCTTAAGTTAAATAGTATAGATCAAACATGAACACTATAAGGACATAGCAATGTCAATCCTAAATTCTAAATAAATCTTAATTTGTATTACAATTTTTACATTATTTCTTAATTTGATATTCGTTAAAATAAACAATTAAACAAAATACAAATTATTACTAATCGTCAACAGTAGTAGCTTAGCTCATTTTAGTTCTAATTTTAAAGTAGGTTAGCGTAAAGTTATTTAGAATTTTACAATATCATTTAATTTCTCATCAATTTCAAAATGTATTATTATATTTATTATTATACATTAACAATTGTACATTTATGTGTTACAACAATTTTAATTAGATGATAACAATTATTTTGATATTCGATAAAATAAACAATTCAACAAAATAAAAATTATTACTAATCGTCAACAGTTGCAAGCTCATTTTAGATCTATTTTCAAATTAGTTTATCGTCAAGTTATTTAGAATTTTATAATTTCATTTAATTTCTCATCAATTTCAAAATTTCAAACTTATTATTATAATTATTATTATACATATATACACATTAAGTACATTTATGTGTTACAACAATTTTAATTAGATGATAACAATTATTTAGATGATAATAACAATTACTCATCCATTTCGATTTATTTATTAATTAATTTATTAACTGCACAGGTGCAGATGCTACCTTAGATTTTAGCGTAATGATTTTCAAAACATGTAAAGCTGATAAACAAAGGCAAGTTTAGTGTATTTCAACATTCTTATAAGATTTTATCTGTTCTTCCTACAGTTAAAAAAATTTACTCAAAATAAACTGTGTTCCCCTTACCCCACCTGACTGACCTAAAATTAACAATTAAGTATTATAATAGGGGTTAAAGTATGAAATTGCCGATTTGGACTGAAAATCTAAATTGTTTATTTTTTAAATTTTTAACAAATTTATT